TTTTCTCACATAATTTTTTCAAACAAAATCTAATAATTTTAATCTTTATCAAACTACATTTATATCAAGCAATCATATTCTTATAACTACACACAAAAAGCAAAAAAAATAATCTCAATGAAACACTCATAGACAACCTAACGTGAAAATCGTATTAAAAAGTAATGTATGAACTTGAACAAATATGGAAACAAAAACTACCAAACATTTCGTCCAAACAAAATTTATTTGTGCATATTATTTTTTTAATATAATTTAAAATATAAAATAAAACATGTTTTTTTTTATAAAAAAAAAAACAAATTCATAGTATATACTGAAAGAGGTGCTGAAGAATACCGTAACATTAATTAAAAATATACACACGTCATCAAAATAAAAATAATAGTATGAGTACTCACGAAAAAAACAAGGGGAAAGGTGTCCAACAACCACCGTAGAGCTTATTACGTTCACAAATCTAGTTGAGTCGGTTCCGACACAAATCACAAAATTTCATTTAAATCTTCTGAGGTGGACCCACCAATAAGACCCTGCCACGTGGGTGGTTGTTTTTTCCCCTGCTGACTTGGAATGGATGAGAACGAGTTTCACCTTCACATTAAACACATTATTAGACCAACTTGTTCTTATAACTTTATTTTATTTTAAATGCATTATCTCACGTCATTTTTAAATATTTTATATCAAATTTTACAAATTTTATTTTTAATATATAATTTTTATAAGTATTTATATCTTTATAATTTTAGTTACATTTTTTGTTAACTTAACAATATTTTAATTATTATAATTAAATAAAATATTTTAATATTTTAAAAAAATTAAGAATTTCAGATATTTAGTTAATTATAGTAGATTTTAACAATAAATTATGAAGATTAGGGAAAAAATAAACAGAATGATGATAAATTCATGAGAGGTTTTTTTATTTTGTTTTCTTCTTTTATTATTTGATAAAATACAATATTATATTATATTATAAATGATAATAAAAGTTATTAAAAAATATCTTTTTAACTATAATATAAGTGGAAACATATACACTAATGAATATTCACATTTATTTCTATTATTATATGTTTAAAAAATAATTTTGTCTCTCTCAATTCTCTAGACCTATCTACGTTGATTTTCTTCTTATTACATGTATTGCATTTTTTTCTTCTTATATATTTAATAGAAAATAGTATCATATTATAAGTAATAACAACAACAAAAATAATTCTCTTTATATATAATATGAATAAATATAAATATATTTTTAATGAGAGTAAAAAAAATATACTTTTATGTTAATTAAATTTTAATTTCTTCAAATTTTCTCTTCACTTTATTTATTTCCCTGAAACATAATAATTAAAACCTAAAAGTTGATACAAATAAATGAAACATTAATTTGGTATACGGATTTTATGAGCGTTTCCGTGTTGGAAGGGTCGTATTAAAGGAATTAGATGGATAATATACATTTCACGTCTTTCAGCGGTCTTATTCCACGTTTTATGCGCACCAATCGCTGTGGCTATTCAAATTGGAAACCCTTACACTTTTTTTTTTTTTAATGTAATTTTATAAAATGTACACTTTCCACTTCACAAGTGTTGCATACAAAAATTAACAAATTTCTTTTATTAGTTGGAATAAGAACAATTTGAATTTGTAATAAAAATGTTGATATTTTGTTAGGAATTTATTTAAAATGCTCTTGACCTTTTGTGTTAAGATTATCTGCTAACATTTTTTCTTAAATACTACCTTGCAAAAGGCACCAACATCTAACATGTTTGAGATTATAGTTTCTAACTTCATGGTTATTTTCTTATAGAATATAAATTAATTTTAAATCTTTCTACTTCATCTTCTTACTATTATTTCTATTTTTCTTAGGATCTTAATAACTACTGTTAGTTTAAAAAGTTTATTAATATATATTAAATGTTACAATTATATTCAAAATTAGAAGGGAGTGCATTTGACGTATGAAATATATTTCATAAATAATAAAAAGATGTATAAAAATATTTTATATAAAAATACAGAGCTACTCATTTTTAAACAAAAGGAGCATTAGAATATTGAGAAAAAGTAATATAAATTAACAAAAACAGTAATTAATATTTTACAAAGCACGCTTTCCACGTGCATTTGGAAGATTCACTTGGTCGTGCAAATTCAAACATAATCCGCCAAACATATGTCACGGAAACCTTTTTAACCCCGTTCCTAAACATTTTCAGGAAACAAAAAAAAAACTTTTTACAAAAATTTGGCATAATTTTAAAGTTAGAAACTTGTTCTGAATGTACCAAATAATTCATTTTAGTAAATTTTCATATATTTTGTATTCTTTTAAAAATAATTCCATTTAGCTATCCATTTTTTAAAAACCTCAAATTAGACATAGAATACGTAAATTTTAGTATAAAAATAGGCATATCTACGACGGCACTATTGGCATTATAATATGCATATTTACTCTCGTATTTACTTACAACACATTTTCCTTAGCTGATTCTAACTTTAAATTTAACCTTTTTAAGCAGTTATATTGATTATTTAGATATTAAAATTTTTATTTATATTAGTAATGTCCAAACTAAAAAGAGGGAAAACTAATATTCTTCTAATTTTTTTTATTATTATATTTGACCGATTTTATATTTAATAATTATATTCTATATTTCTTTAACTGTCTATTCAATATATTACTAAAAGATTTCATTTTTCTCGAGTATAAGTTCTGTAAAACTAATTAAATATAATATTAAAAAAATCAATAAATGAAATTATAGTTATGTTTTTTAATTTAATTATATATCTAATATTATTTAAACCTTTCACCATGTTTTCTCACCTTGTCACCCATAAAAAAAAAACCCCACAAACTCATCAATTAACTCAGATCACCCAATCCAAACTTAAATGTTCCTTCAAAATAATTGAAAAATAATTTCCTAAATAATAAAACAGCTGAATTAAACAAAGCAATTAACACCAAAAACTGTCTCTTCAATGCACAAATCAATGAAGATATTTGCGAACCAACAATGACAGAGCACTAAAAATTGTCCTGTACGATTTTTTTTCCTTTAATCTCTTTCTCTTTCAATCATAAAAACTATAATGAATAGGCATGACACTACGATAGTAACGGACGATTCCTGTTTTGTTAAATATCTTCTTCAAAGTACTAATCTCCATGATTGGTAACATCAACTTGGTTTTCCTGAAATTGAGTTTGTAATGTTTAAGATTTTAAGTTGAAGCTTTGTGTAATTAAGAAAATACGTGATTAAAAAAAACGATATTCGTTTAAAAGAGTGAAATTTCGTGTGCCTTACTTAACCTGGTTCACCTTTAAAATGATTTATTATCATTTATATTGAGAATTTAAGCGTACGTTTTATATTAAATAAAAATTAAATAATTAAATAATTTATAATTAAAAAAATCTATAATTTAATATTTTAAGATTTTAGATTAAAAATAATATTATACTTTTTATATAATTAACTTATAACACATTTACAAGAATATTTCTGTTATTAATCCCTACAAAATATCCATCGTATCTATGCAACTCAATGGTCCATAAACCAGAATTATACATGAATTGTTACAATGGATTTGGGTACACTCATTCTCTGCTTCACGTCATATTCACGGGTTACTTTATTTAACATATCTCACATAATTTCGACTTCCTACATTATTAGACTGATTCATATTCTTCAAATTTTATTTTGTATTTAATAAAATATAAATAATCAAATAATATATCATATTTTTTCCATATTAAATGTTTATAATTAAATTTTTTAATAAAAAATGTTTTAAAAGAAATAATCACATTTGATCCAATTAGTTACATACTGATTAAAATGAATTTGATATAATATATATAAATTTTACCTTACTTAATTTTTAAATTTTTAATTGAATCAAATAATGGATTACCCTATTTATCTTGTGTATAACATGTAAAATTACAAAAGACTCAACCAACAGAAAAAGAAAGAATACAAAAAAAAAAACGATTTGGTTATTTTTATATCCCTGTGTATCGCTATTGAAAGTTATTATTTATTTAATTAAAATTATTATATATTATTCTTGTTTTTGGCGACATAATTACGGTTTTTTTTATGGTTTAAATATAAGTTATTTTATCATCATTTAAAATTACAATTATAATATCAAAATAACACACTAAGTAAAATGTCAAAAGTCAATGATTACTGAATAATAACAATAGAAAAAACTGTAAAATATTTTAAAAATAAAGAATAAGTCTTTTGCAATTATCTTATTTATTTGAAATCGTATTATGATCCACAAAATAATTGATTTTAACTGTAAATATATTTATATCTTCACTACCTTAATTTTGTTGGTATTAAATTGACTATATTTAATAATAAGGAATAAAATAACAGACAAAAAATAAAAATAAAAATCGAAAGAACTAAAATAGAAGCATATATACAAATATAAAACATAAGATATATTTTAGTATTTATTATATATTATATATTATTTTAGACAATCAAACAATTTAAAGAAAAAGAAAACCATCTTATTTGTTTTTACTTTGTTTCCTTTAGTTTTTTTTCCTAAACTAAACGTGGATAAGCTCAATAGTCGCATATCTTCCTCCCCTAATTTTTTTTTGTTTAAAAAGTGATTCTTTGGATTCTGTTTTTCAGAGTGATGAAGGATGATGAATAGGGTAAAAAACTTGACTTGGTTGGATTGTGAAAGAAAGACAAGTAGAGGAAATAATTAATGGAGGGAGGCAAAATAATAGCGCCTGTGAATAAAATCAGACACGAGGTCGCCACATCACTCTTGCGAAGCACAAGTTTCCACGTTAACTCCTACCTAATCCCCCACACTTTTTCAACTATATATACTTCACATTCATTCCCCTTCGCTGCTTCTTTCTTTTCCCCAAATTTTCTCATTTCTTTCTTCGCACATTCTTCTCCTTCTCCTCCATGACTCCCAATACCATATCTATTGATTACCAAACCAATCGGGTCTTTCCCGAACCCGATGTCTTCATACACTGCTCCCAAGGAACACGCATTCCGGTCCACGCTAGCATTCTGGTTTGTCTTCAACTTCTAATATTCCCTTCTTATTACAATCTTCTTTTCGCATTGCTCTGTTTTAATCATTTTTTTAATTCGGGAAAAGGCTTCGGTGTCGCCGGTTTTGGAGAACTTCATAGATCGGCCGCGTAAGCATCGGAGCTCCGAGAGGATAATCCAAATCCACGGCGTACCTTGCGACGCGGTTATAGCCTTCGTTGGTTTTCTCTACTCCTCTAGGTAATTGCTATATTCAAACACCGGTACTATTTTGTATCTTGATTAGATTGGATTATCTGAAAATGACAGAGATGCCCCCAGGTGTACGGAGGAGGCGATGGACAAGTATGGAATGCACCTTCTCGCATTGTCTCACGTTTACCTGGTGCCGCTGTTAAAACAAAGGTGCATCAAGGGTTTGACCGACCGTTTGACCACGGAAAACGTCGTCGACGTAGTGCAACTCGCGCGCCTCTGCGACGCACCGGATCTCCACCTCCGCTGCATGAGGCTCCTCGCCAATAACTTCAAAGCGGTGGAGGCGACCGAGGGGTGGAAGTTCCTCGTCAAGCACGATCCCTGGCTCGAACTCGACATTCTCCGCTTTATCGACGAACACGAGACGGTAATTGATTAATTAGCTAATTTTAAAATCCCGTGAAATTTGTGGATTGTTTGTTTGTGGATTGGAAACGCTGATTGATGATTGATGACAGAGGAAGAAGAAATCAAGGAGGCATAGGATGGAACAGGGGCTATACACGGAGCTGAGCGAGGCGATGGAATGTTTAGAACACATATGCGCCGAGGGGTGCACGCTAGTTGGACCCTACGATGTGGAGGTGCAGAGAGAGAGAAGGCCCTGTGGCAGATTCTCCACATGTCAAGGGCTTCAGGTTCTGATCCGCCACTTTGCCACGTGCGAGAAGAGGATGGCCGGTGGCTGCGTTCGCTGCAGGCGGATGTGGCAACTCTTTCGGCTTCATTCGTACGTTTGCCATCAAACTGATTCCTCCTGCAAGGTTCCTTTCTGCAGGTAATTTTGAATTGAATTTCACACTTGTGTTTCTTTCCGAATGTAATAAAGAAAATAGTAATATTTAAGTCACGAGGTATATCATTTCGCGTACAATTAAGTATTTAATTATGGTCTTTTACGACTTTTCAATGATGGGATTTGTCAAAGATATTAATTAAGTATTGGTCCAAACTTTTCTTATTTTTCTTTTTCTTAATCTTTTCCCCGGTGTTTGAAGGTTCAAAAGGTAGCTTCTTTTTACAAACAAATAAATTTTTGTTTTTTTTATTTATTTATTTAATGAATAAGAGATTATAACGCGGAGATGATTTATAGATTGAGAAATAGTTTTTATTTTATTCTTAATTAATTTATGTTCTGACTGTGTCTGCGCTGGTTTCACACGGCTGAAACTTCCACCACTTTTCATTTTACCTAAAAAAGAAATAACATTTTTTTTAATTAAAGAATAGAAAACGGAAATAAAATTTGAAAGCCAGGTCGACACCTCCAAACAAACTTGTTCCATGCACCCAAAGGTAGTTTTTCAGCTAGCTTTATTTGTTTCATAATAGATCAGAGAATAGGGGCTGAGACTAGAACAATGTAGAAGTAACTGTTGTTCAAACCACAAAGTTATGGAATTAGTTCTGTTGTATTTATTTTTATAGTTTCTGTGATGAATTCATGATATGAACTACGCCACAGAAGTTCCGATTATTATTTTGGTAAGTATTTAGCCGTGATAAGTCAGAAAATTGCAAGTGTGTTTTGAAGGAATTATGCTGTTTAGCGAAGGGGAGCACAAATAGTTTTCATTTGAGAAATAATTTTCTATGGCTTTGATATTATATCTGGTTCCCTTGTCCAGTTCCTTAATTATTAGATTTGGAATCCCATCGTGAATTGCTTCCTGTTCATAGATGATTACTTTTCGTGTTTCTCTAGTCTGTTCTTGATATTTTTAGGGTACAGGTGTAGTTGGCCGGTTCGCGTCTTTATTCAATTGGTCTATCGTAGTTGTCATCTATTCATCATTTATGAGCCTTCCAATCTTCACCACTACCAGCTAGTTCCTACTCATATCCTAGTCACGGCTCTTTTACATTTCATAAAATCAAAATACTGATGCCATCCCTATATTCCATCGAACTAACGTGGTGTATGGTTATTAGATTAGATCAACTTTCCATAGTTCCATTAAGGATCATGGGTCAAAACATGACAAACATACATCGGTCATGGACCCCCACCAAATAAAATATCTATACTTGGTGATATACAATTGTTAATTTTGCACCCACTTTCTTTACTATAAAAAAGAAAAAAGGTGTACCAAGCTAGGGGACACATTAGGGCCTCGGCCTTTTATCATTCACTCATCTAATGAAATGGTAGCTTTGCAGACCAACTATCATTACTCACTCTCAAATCAAAACATAAACATAGATAAATATACTCGTGGTTATCTTATGAAATAGTATTGCTCTTATCCAAATTCCCTAGTGGCAGTTGTCTAATATAACGTCCATTTTAAGTTGGTGATGCACCCCAAGTCCGTGTCATCTCCTTGTTTTCTTCTAATCTTTTGATGATTGTCTTGTCTTATCTATTTTGAAAATAACTAAGCGCCACAGTGGTCTCCCTCTCTGTTAACTCTTAACAGTACTGTTTTGGGTGAATGTGACAGGCAATTTCAATTGAAGATGCAGCAAGAAAAAAGGAAAGATGATGCTAAGTGGAAACTTCTAGCGAGGAAGGTGGCCTCAGCCAAAGTCATGTCTTCCCTGTCTCTTCCAAAGAGGAAACGAGATGAGGAAATGAGAGTCACAATGAACAATCACGGGATTAGAAGCTTTAAATTACTATGAATTATAGTGATGTATAGTAGGACGGTGTGTTCCATGTTGATAGGGATGTTTCTGTTCTGTGTAAAATCAGGATTTTGGACTGTGTCAACTTTTTGTACCTGGCTTTTTTACTAGAGAAAATTGTAAATTTTGTTTGTTGGAATCTCACCTTTCGCTTTGTCCTGAGATTTTGAGATCATTGTAAGTCAGTGTTTGATTTCATGAATTATTCGAGTAGAATACCCAATTATTCATTTTAAATAGTAATTTAATTCATTTATATTTTTTTATTAGTAAAAATTAAACGTATATCATAAAATGTACAGTAAATTAGATAGTTTTTCAACTATCTTAACTAATAATTTACATTTTAAATAGCACTATTTATCTTTATTTAGTTTTATTATCTAATGCAATCAAAATTTATTTATTTTTATCTTATACCATGTTTTTCTCAATTGATTTATGCAAAATAAAATAGAAACTAAAATATTTTTTTGTGACAAGGAGAAAAAGAGAATGGAAAAGAAGAGAATTTATATCAAAATAAGAAACTAGCCAAAGACACTAGACATCCCTTTGTGTCTATTTAAGCCGACAAAGAGAAAAAACCGAGATTTTTGTTTTTTTCACGATAATAATAATAATAAGAATAATATATGTTGGTAAAAAGGATATCAGTCTCATATAAGAATAACATCTAAACACATTACATAAATCTTCTGATTTACAAATGATATTTATAAAAGATAATAAAAACAAGATAGTCACTTCTAAAAAAATAATATCTTACTCAAATCTCATTCAAATTTCCTAAAACATTATTTCAAACGGAAGAGATGGATGATTTGGCAGAGTCAAAATGTGAAGTTGAAACTTATGGAAAATGAAAGGTAAAAATATAAGAAATTTTTAAAAAGAGTTGAGATCTATGCAAATTTTGTTTTCATGCTCAACATAAGAAAATAGGTAAAAGGGATTTAGTATTTTTTTAGGCTTTTATAATTATTTATGGATAAATATAATTGATAAAGAAACTTTTATCTGTGTTTTTAATTATAATAATAATAATAAAAAAATTACTCTATTATTTATTTCTTTGTTCTATTTTCACTTATTTAATTTGTTTTCATCCTCTATTCTTTATTTTGGTCAGATTTGTGTGAAACGAAGGATAAAGGTTCTGACATGATTGATGATTGCAACTCTTGAGGAAGACATATATGTTGGGACATTATAATTTGGTGCAGAAGAACAGACACTAGTATAAAAAAAACAGAATAGTGTTAATGATGATTAGTGTTCTTAAATTAGGAGTAAAAGAATAGGAAGGTAATGATGGCCTGCATGTTAGTCCCGAATGTCGCAGACCGACAGACATTGGTCCTAAGAAAGCAAAAGGAAGGTCGTGAGGCGTTAGTGATGTCTCAGAAGAGAACCCATCATCAACCAACCAACACTTCCTTTGCTTTAATTTGCAACCGCTGCCACAAGCCTTTGTCCAAGACAAAGTTAAGTGCATATATTCAAAATCAGAGGCACCGCCGAAAGAACATTTTAACACCATTCACAAACCGTTTCTGACCTGGGAATCATAAAAACGTCAATCACTTTTACGCATTATTTGTTTCCAAAATGAAAAAGAATAATTAAATCCACTTTCTCCCACTTGGATGAACGGAAATTATTGTCACACTTGTAAACATTACATTTCAGTTATCTATTCTGAATTTTCACCTTCTGTAGTTTTTCTCACGTGTGAACATGGATTCAAATTCCAAAACAATTAAAAGTTAGGGTTAGGCATAGAGGGGGTTGTAAGAGGTGGGCTACAAAGTGGAATGGGCTCCATTGTGGGCTGGTTAAATGCAATTGTATAATGTTAATATATTAGTTTTTTTTTTCATTTCTAAATTTGTTTAATCATGATTTAAAAAAAAAAAAAAGATAGCGTTTTTTTAAAGGTGACAAAGATATCTTGGTTGTAAATTGATGTTTCATGTGCCTCAAACTTCAAATATTTATGCAGTATTAACCTAATTTATTTAGTTCCGTTGAAAATTTTCATCCTATTTTAAAATATGTGAGTCATTTTTTTTAATCTATTTATCTCACCATCATCACTTTTGTATTTATTTTCAATCAAATATATATTATTTTATTTTATTTTATTTTTCATCTATTTTACTTTATCTCCCTGTTAGATTTTATCAATATATTTCCAAGTTCACAATCCACTAATTCATTTTTTTAGATCTTATTATTCGGTGCGAAGTATCTTTCCTCTTAAGTGAATATAGTGTGATAATTTGTTATCATTCTTCTTCTTCTTTTTTTTTTTTTTTATAATTGCGAGATAATATATAAACTTAAAAAAAGCGTTAAGATAGGATAAAATAAGAAGATAGTAATATAAATAGTAAATACATTAATCATATAAATAAATTATCTATTTTTATTGTAATTTGACATTTCGCTGTTATTGTTGAACTTAAGAGAAGAAAAAGAACATGTAATAATATGTTTGAAAAAAAGAATGAAATTTTCATTTTATTTGTTTAAATTTATTTATTTTTTCTTTCTTTTATTTCAAATATAAAATGTATATAGTTAATTTCGTTTTGCGTATTGAATTAATATCGTAAAAATACAGTAATAGTAAAAATAATAGGGTAAACATATAGTTGTTTTCGTTCTTACGTCATGGCATGTGTCACCAATGACGTAATATAATCAGAACGATAACAAGGAACAAGTGTGGTGTGGTGTTGGATAAGAAATAAAAAATGAAATGTTGTAGTAGAAAAAATTGTTAATATATTTATAATTTTTTCAATATAAACTTTCTTAAAAAAGTATTGATATTTATTTTTTGTAAATATTTTCTTTAGTCAGATACATCATTTAACATTATCATAAAATAATACTTTTTTTGTTAAATTTCTCATAAAAATATTTTAGTGAAATGTGACAATCTATTTTTTTAAGTCAAAATAATTTTTACTAAAAAAAACTATATTATTATTACTATTATTAAATTATTTTATATTATAATGAATTAAGGATTTTAATAAAAGCAAAACATTAAATAAAAATATATATAAATATTGTTGATGATATTTTTAATAGGATGTAACCTAATCTAATTAAGTTAATTTATCAGATTAATAAATTTAAAATATATTTTATTTATAAGAAAAAACATCTCAAAATAAAATATTTTTAATAATTATAAGATAATAACAATATTTATGTATAAACAATACGATAAAATATAAAACTATTAGACTAATAACATTTATTACCTACTAAAGTTGAATTTTCTGAATTTGAAATTTATGAACCTGTTATCCAAGTCAATTAAAATTGGATACACATACACTAAACAAAGTTTAACTCAATTAATGTTACTTGTTTACACTCTAAGTTTTTGCTAGCAGAAGTTTTTTTCTGATACCAAATGTTTCCTACTGTAGAAGAATTTTTGTTAGTTTTCCAAAAATTTGAAGTTGGAAAAAAAAGTTTATTGTATTTAGTTTATCTTTTAAAATATAAAATATTAGGAAACTATATTTTATTGGATTTCATAATATTAAGTTTAAAAGTTATACATATTGAAACAATGAACATAAAAGATTTATTTATACGAGGTGACACAAACCCAACAATTTGGATGGATAATTATACAAATATTATTAGGGTCGACAAGGAAATAATCCCCTTAAATAAACAACAATGATGACGCTGGTGAAGACTGAATCTTGATGGGCAATGTTCAAAGCTCGTCCCTAAGAAATGATGAACGTTCCATTGATTTTGTGATTGGATAGGAAGCCTCCATTGCTATGCCACATAGACCTTTCTTGTCAGAAACGCTTCTATGCATTCTAATGTAACCCTTTTCTCCCCATTCCGATCCCCATGAGTTCTTCACTATCCAATATTTGGTTCCCTCTTGAGTTGTTCCGTACCCCACAATTGCTACTCCATGATTCAGATCAGTGCCACAAGGTCCCGTAAATACTCCCTGTAGTTAATTATTTGCAAACTATGATCTCCCAAAACCATTATGTTTTCAAAACTAGATAGTTAAGAACCATGTTTGGTGGTGATTGTACTTTAAAAGTCATTCACAAAAAAGTTCTCAGGAAGAGGTAGATTACAACTAATAATACTGTTGGTTAGCGTAAGACTATAATTTGATCCTTTGAATAAGGTTTTGAAGTGCAGTTCTAGGGAAGACAGAAAATATGTTTGAAAGTGATTTTTAACTAAAAAATGATCGGTTAAATTTTCTGATAGAGTGGTGACTAGTAAAATCGGTGAATATTATCCATCTATAACGGAATTGTAAGAAAAATTATAGAACCAAAAGATCACCTCTGAGTAGAACTGGAAGCCAAATCCACCAGCATCGATGGCTACTGATACAGGTTGATGAGCAACAGCTTTGAGCAATGCAGCTTCCTTGTTCACGGGGACATTCTCATGTCCATCAATTGACACTGCAGGTTCCTTCACCTGCAGTATGATTTGTTTTTTGATGTTTAAATTCCTAATCAATCAACTAAATAAAATAAATAAAGATCAGTGTGAACCTTTGATGCAACACAAGTTCCATCTTTTGCTTCATAAGGGTAATTGCTTTCTGTAGTTATTCCATGTTGTTTGATAAACTCGAATGCAGTTTCCATTAAGCCACCATTGCATCCTTCATTCTCTCTAGTGTCACAATCTATAAGTTCTTGCTCAGACAAGGACACTAGCTTATGTGTCTTGATTTGATTAATACCTTCAACAGCTGCAACGGTTGAAAATGCCCAACAACTACCTATATATAACAAGACATTAAAAAAACATAATAGTTTTTATTCACATGATCAAGAACCTAATCTTAGTTATCAAGAGACTTTGTGGTAAAACAAACAAAGATGATGTTAGGTATCATGGGAAGCTTCTATTTTTCATGATAAATAAACATGTACAAGGTTAAAAAGATGATGACAAACAAAAGTGACCATGCAGAAAAAATAGTAGTAGTTTTGCTTTACCACATTTTCCTTGATCCTTTACATCTGTGACAGCACCTTTCTTCCTCCAATCCACCGAAGGAGGAACCCTGTCAACGTTCTCATACATGAAAGTACCATTCCCGCGTGGCATGCCTTGGAACATTCTGTGGTGACTAACCTTGGAGCTAGCATAGATGCTCCTGAATTCATGGTTGGTCATGTCAGCGAACCTGTTCAACTTCAGCTTGTAAGGCTTGTCCATTTTATTCGTGTTGTGGACATGCATCGCGTTGGCTTTGAACACGTTGAAGCGCTTCTGCTTCTCATCCAGGCTTCGCGAAACCGTGTGGAAGCTCCTCCACCTCTTGTACAAATCCCACAACCCATCCTCAGATTCCAACTCCTTCTCTTTGAAATCAAAGCTCTCGGTCACTCCAAGAACCAAACCAAACAATACAACAGCCCAAAAAACTTTTTTCATCTCCATATTGCTTTGCTTAATGTGAAAAGAGAGAGCAAGGAGATGATTTATATAGAAAAATGAAAGCCAGTTAGTCAGAAAAAATAAATGAAGTTACTAGTTACTTAAGGGCATCAACAATAATAATGATGAACATGCAAGGCTGTTATAGGGACATTAATTCAAATATGTTTTTATACATTTCTTAGATTTTATATAATAGAAGCAAACTCATATTTTTCTTATTGGAGCAAAAATAATTTGGCAGATAAGTTCCTAATTTAAAGCTTTGTGCAAAACTGCTATATATTGTGTGGTTGAAGGATCATATTTGGGTTGCATGCAGATCACGCTATTACCTTAAAGATAGAGAATGATGGTGGGTTGATGAGAGCATGGATTGCTTCTGGTTTTGAGCCACTGTGTGTGGCATCAAGGGGAGTGGAACGTAATGCTAACTGTTTTTATTTTTAGCTTACGTGATTGCTTGTGAAAGCAGAGGTAGCATGGACAAAACAAACAAATTCAAAGTGCAATCAATTGTACTTTCCAACTGCATGAATCTTTGCAGTGCATGTGGAGTATCATGGTAAAAGTGGTTACCATATCACTGGACATTGGTAACTTCGAAATTACATACGATGAAGATAACAAGATTACAAATTTTGATTATTTTGTTATAAATATAAAAGAAAACTTAATTCACTCACAATCTCAACGCAGTTGTGTGACTTCCATTTCCTTACTTTAAGAATAATATTAATTAATTTGCTTTTAAATGATGAAAATATACTTTAAAATGTCCCATTCCCCTTGACGGTATGTGGAAAAGAATTTGTGTAATTCATTCAGTGATTATTATTTGACTCCAATTCTACACGCTTGCTAATTGCTTGATGCACAGAAATACATTAGCGTAATGCATTGGTCTCTACCAAATCACTTGAAAATAAAGATAAAAAATATAATGAATTTCTGAAGAGGCATTTCATAGGCTTGTGGTGGAAGTACTATTGTAGGCCATGTTCGCGGAGTGTGGTCAACTCTGTGATCATCGATATTATGAGATGGCCTGAATGGGCTTTTTTACCAAACAGGGTAAATGGCCTTGAATTTTCTTTTTCTGATTTTTTACCACGACTCACTCTTTCTAGAATCCATTTATTCCATGCATTTTCCTCTCTCTTACTGGCAAATGTAATTAGTGGATAAAATTCAAAGCTGTCTTTTGTTTAACATCTACAAACCGTTGATAATCATGTCATTGTAAAAAATATAGAAAATCTTAGAACTAGTGATGTTTTTAAAAATTGCATATGCATGCCTCCTGAAACATAATTACGAAAAATTGTGGCTTACGTGATAAAAATTAATGAACAAAAGTGTATTTTCTAAATATATATTACCAAATTATCTATAAACATTAATGATCAAAAGTGTATTTCCTAATAAATTATGCTTACTTCGTACGTGTTCAGCGAGGGACCGCTGTTCTATACTGCAAAGGATCAGGATTTAAATTTGTCTTCTTTACCACAGACCCAATTTCTCATATCCTATAAAAATCTTGAACCATCCATTTTCTAAAGAATGGATATTTTTAAATATAAAAATTATATCTCAGAATACCGATTCCAGAAGGAAGTGACTGCAATTTTTATAGGATGTGAAAGAAAATACCACTTTTCCATTCATCTATATGTCTCTTAAAAGGCATGGAATTCATGTTCACTTCCAGATTTCCTAATATAATAGTAATCGCCCACAACCCCGGCGGTCCAACAAAAAAAGTCTGAGCTCATCCGTTGCTGCATTTCATCCAATGACACTTAATGGGGGTGGGGGGCATTAAAGATGGATTCACCGTGCACCCCCCTTCAATGATAGCAATGTTAAGTTTAGTATAGTTATTTGCAGGTGTGCAAACGAAAATGTTACAATTTCAAAGAATGCTGTCATAATACCAATTACAATACAATACCGGAGTATACCTGTAGCCCTGTAAGTAGCGTTACAAGTTATAAATACGAGAACTAGCAAGCACAGTATAAGGATCAAATTACTCGCTTAATTGGCCGTTATCTTTCATCAGTGGCAGACTGCTGGTGAGGTCTCCACAAGTTTTGGAAATTCAACAGTAGCATGTAGCAGAAGAGTTTCATGCCTTCATCACAAATTAGTCTACTTATTTGACTTGAGACTAAAAACATTTTTAGACAAACTTCTCCACAAACACTTTTAAGGAAGAAAACAGAAATTCACTTTTCTATGAAATAAGTTTAGCTTATTCACAAGTTATAACTAAAATTTAAAGAGGTTATATGAGAATTTTTTACACACTAACTTGTATATAGGCTAATTTTAATTTATAGAGAAGTTAAGCTCAATTTTTCTTAATTTTTTTCCTTACAAATGTTAATGGAAATACTTGTCCAAACAAACGTGTTGCTATATATATATATATATATATATATATATATATATATATATGAAACTTCCTTAAAAACAGTATATATGGTTCATATTATACCTTGTATGAACATAAAACAGTGCTGAAAAATTCAGGCAGTCAATTGAGCAATAGCACAACCCCTTGCATATGTGTAAACCTTTTTCTGTTTTAGTGGGGTCCAACCTGAGTGTATTCAAAGAAATGAAAGAACATTATGTCCAGACACAAACTACCCCATTCTTGTCAGCTGAAGCTAGGGGTTTTCCAATACCGCTCCACCTACAACACAGAACAGAAGAAGTGTGTTCCTTCAGAGTACCGACTATATCACCTTTAGATCTTGACCAAATATAGACAGATCCATCGGCAGACCCAGCAGCCATGTGACTATCATCTGGACTAATACAGGAGCGACTCCAGTTAGAAGCAACTCTGTTTCCCGCCGCTTTTAGTGTGCCACAAACTTCAAGAGATCTCACATCAAACAAATTGTGCAAATTGTCCCTTCCACTGGTCAGTACAACATTTCCATTTCGAGAAAGGGATATTGATGTGACTGCAAGTGAATGTGCAGCAACCTCGCTGAGTAGCTTTCCGCTCTGAATGTCCCATAACCTAAGATTACCATCAACATGTCCTGAAAATATTGTCTGACCATCCATGCTAAAGGTAAGAGCATTGCAGTTGCTGTGAAAAATGATTGTGCTAGTGCAGTAACCCTTCATTAGGTCCCAAACTTTTATGGTGCGATCATAAGCAGCACTGACAACATGACGACTTGAAATCTTGCTAACATCAACAGCACAAACTTTATCTGTGTGGCCAGTTAGGGTATGACGGACACGGCCTGAGTTGACATCCCATACATATAAGTTGTTTGAGCTGCTTGCAGCAATGACTGATCGATTATCATGGGTAATCGTGAGATCTAACACTGAGCCAAGGCAGCCATGAAGTGTAGAACATAAGGATCCTGTATTTGTATCCCACATTTTAACTAAACGATCTTGTCCCCCAGTAATCAAAATACTGGAATTGTACTCAAACAACATGGAAGCACAACCACCTTCATGTGCACGAAGCCTATATTTACATGTGGAAGGGATGTTTGACTCTAAAAAAAATTCAGCACCTTCTTCACTTTGGCGAACTATACCATCCACCTGCTGCCTTGCAAGTTGCTCTAAACCACTGGCCTTTAGTTTCTCAACCATGTCTTCGTACAGTGCGTTGGCCTAAAGTGATTGGAACTAAATATTAATTGAATAAGTAGCATATGCAACAACATTAGTAGGTATAATCACGGTTTTGTGAGGATTCTACACATAAGAAACTTACACTACTAATGTAACTATCATAGTGATTTAATTATATCATGCACTGACTTTTAAATAGATAAAACACCATTAGAAAAGGTTCAGATTTCAAAATATCAAAAAGTTAGTTCAGAAGAACAGTCAATATTGGCATAACATTGCTGAATCAGGTAAGGATCCGCAGAACTTAGTTATAATAATAGAAAGAAGTGTACCGATACTAAATATAAAATTCAAAAGTTCAAATGGAAAATGGAAAATATAGAAGATATTTTACCTCATTTAGGCGTTCAGCATCCTTCATCTTTTCCAACATCCAGCGGTCAATCAACATCTTATTTTCAGCTTCAGCTTTATTGGCTTTAGTAGTCATCTGCTGCAGTTGGGCTTTAAGTTCAGAATTCTCACTGATAATCAGTTCTAGAGATTTAATTTTTTCTTCCAAGTCTTCCTTTAATTGAGAGCACTCATCCCTGCAACGTTAATTTAACTCATAATCACGTACCACAGACAAACAAAAAAGAAAAAGGAAGGTCATTATGACGCATAAGAAACAGTGCACAACCTCAATTCCGTCAACTCCTTTTGCAAATCAGCAACTGCATTTTCTTTCTCTTGAACCAACGCTTTTGAAGCTCTGGACTCAGCTACTTCCACAACAAGTTGCTCAGACAGGCGTGATTGAGCTTTGTAGCATTGCTGAAGTTCCACTTGAAGATTCTCTGCTTTCTCTTTCCACTCAGAGCCCTTCAAGGACAAACACAGATGCAACATTAACCTCAACCAAAGCATTCCAATTGTTAAACGGCTAGACACGTACTATGATCCAAGTAACAATATTCAGGAGATGTAAAGGGAATGGGGAAGAGTGTCCATCATCAAAAGCCAACTAATATTAGATAGGTAAAATTGTAGAGATGAACTACTCTCTTGGAACCGGATGTCAGAACAAATTTCTAAAACATAATTAGGGATGGAAATTGGAAACTTTGAGTATAGTCCCACAAATTTGGTAATCCCAAGCATGAATATTGTCGAAGCAATGATAGAGAGAGAACCTGAGAAGCTATGGGTCTAGAAAGTGCTAGAACAGCGGGACCATGAGCGGCTTCCTCAAGCAAATGGCGTTTCCGTAGAGCCTTCAAAGCATGTTTAATAGCTTCACACGCAATTTCTTCTTGCGACTTGCATGTTTTCGCCATTACAGACTCAAAAACAGAATTCAAGCACCAAACTTTTGGGTTCCTGGATTGTTACAATTCAGGGAAAATATAAGCAGAGATCACAATTTAGGATCCCCGAAGAAAGACCAAGATTGAAAAGGAATAGGGTATTGGAAATAAAAAATAAAAAATTAAAATCTTTCAGGTGGACAGTAGATACCTGAAAATAGGGTCCCACGCCAAGCGCTATTCCCCCAAATCCCTACCGTCAAAATCTTGGGGCTCACAGTACATGAACAAAATCCCAACCGTTAAAATCTTGGGGCTCACAATACATGAACAAGGCCTGCCTTTTTACACCCCTGTTTTCTTATTCACTCCCCCACCTTTTTCTTCTTTCTTCCCAAACTACCCTCTTAAACACACCCCTTGACTCTTTCTTCCTCCCGATGCCATATGTAAAACTATATAAATTACAGTGATGAAGACAAACACCCATTTAGCAAAAATATCTAAATTTGGGAAATCAATAACACTTGAAAGCATTTCATCAATTAAAACTCCAAACATGCCAAAATCAATCAATTTCGATGATTAAGATTACTAGTTAACTTATAACGCAAGCTTAAAATTAGCAGCGAAAAATACTAAAGTTGTTCCGCAACTCTTAAATTGCGTTTGGGAAAGGGTTGAAGGGATTGAAGAATAGGAATATGAAGTATAAAGAAGCAGTTGGGAGTGAAAAGGGTCATCACCTCCTAAGAGAATGGGTTTAGAAATGGCATGGAAGGGGATAGATCCTGGAAGAGGAGAAAAAAGACGCTGCAGTTCCTTGCTGTTTAGACGTGGATGGACGGCAAGGATTAGGTAAAAAGGAAAAAAAAACAAGGAAATTGTATTTTAAAACATTGTTTATTTATATTCTTGATTTTATTAAAATTTATTTATTTTTATAAACAGTTTTAAAATTATTCCTGAAAGCTTAAAAGTCAGAAAACAATAGACGAAGGGAAACCTAGAAAAAGCATAATTATGGTAATTAGTTTTAACAAAAATTTGAAATATAATTTACCAATAATTTGATACCTTCATCCATCTTTCTCTTTTTCTTTCATTTTTTCTTCTCCTATTTAACTATTGACTGAACTTTTATGATATAGATATGTGCAAACTAAAGTGGAGTTTGAGAATTCATTTGATGAATTAAATGACAATTTTCAACATAGGTTATACTCCTGATTAAATTACTTTCAATACAATGACTTAGAAAAATGACTTGAAGCCAAACAATAATCCTTATCAAATTTTATTGTTGAAACAAATGACCTGTCATTCCTTATAAACATTATTGTTTATATAAGTAATGTTGCTTAAGTTAAGAATAAACTATTTAAATGCAGTCGATCAATTAATAAAAAAATGTTTATTAATATAAGACCCTCAAAATTAATATGAATAGTTAATATAAGCAATCATACATGGTACGGGTTCATTTAAATTTGATTATTCTATTATAAAGGGTTGAATTAATTTTCTAGTTTGGTCATTCGGTTGTACAATAGTTAAATTATTTTTTTATTTAATTATTTTAAATATAAAGATCAAAATTTAAAAATATTTAAAACGGATTAAAATCATTCTTAAATATATAAACTTGATAACATTAATGTTTTTTAGTTATTTAATTTTTATTTATACTTTAAAAATTGATAATATTTATATTTTTTATTATTTGATTCTTATTTTATCACTTTAAAATTAATAACATTTATTTTATCAGTTTATTATTATATAAATATAAAATTAATATTATTGTATTTATACTTTCTATTAAAGTGATAAATTTTTTAGAAAATAGATTCTTACTAATTTAGGAGTAAGTCTATATACCTCAAATCTACGTAGAATCAAGAATATGATAACCTTATAGCCTATGCTCACGAATACGATAACCTTGTAGCCTATGCTCAACAAGTAGTGAAAACGATCAACAGGAACAAATAAAATAAAATAAATAAATACAAGCAAAGAAGTATACTATTACTTGGACATCTGACATTAGATTTTCGTTGCTCATGTAATATATCGTGAAAGCTGAGAGAGAAATCCAAACAATTGGATAATGTTCAAATGATTAAGGTTAAAAATTAAGTTATGGAACTTTTAAATAATTATGCAATATATAAGTAAATTTTAATAATAATAATAATAATAATAATAATAATAATAAACTATTCACATTTGTTGGGATATTATATATTATTTATTATCTGTTTTTGGAATTAGACCACTAATGTTCCTGGTGTAAGGGATTAGATTTTTATTGAGTACGGTATACTAATATGTTATTAAGTGACTCTTATTTTTTACATGAGAAAAATTGTGTTGAAAATTGAAGATTATCTAATAAAATTATAATATAAAAGGTCTAAATCTTATTTTATAAGCTGATTTTGTATGATTATACATTTTTATTTTTATTTTTATTGGTAAATTTAAGTATGAGTTTCTATTTTATATTAAATAAAAAAAGAAAATTGAACAATATATATAAAAAATATCCATAACTTAATACTTAAATTTTTTTATTAAAAATAATATCAATCTTTCATGAGAATATAATACTTAATTTTTTTTATTGAAAATAATATTAATCTTCTCAAAATAACTATTAATTTCTAACATAATATAACGACCAACTTTAATAATATTGTTATATTATACCATCCAGTTCACACACACGTGAAGTTACAAATTTACTTAATGGCCACTCGTGACAGTACTTGATAGACGCTAAAGTGATTGTTTCTACCATCTCAACTTTCTGATTAAAACACTCGGTAGCTTAGCACTCATGCCCTACTTACTTATCAGGCGCACAACGTTTCATCATTTTCTGGTATGCATGCATGATCTGCAAAAATAAACTATTACTTTGATAGATTAGATATAAAAAGTAAACTTCATGTAAAACATATTACTCATAGAAAGAAATAATTTGCTGTTGTTATTACGACATTTATACCATTCTTAATTAATAATCATTTAAAATTGGTTAAGTGATTTACATTGGGGAGAAATAATGACATACTTCAAAATAATTATATAGCTTAATAAATTAATCTGTGTGATGTGTAATAAATGTTATTAAGTTTTTGTAAATATTGATTATAGGTTAAGTATAGAGATTGATTAAGATTACGAAGACATGGTAATTAAGCACTATGTAATTATATATAATGGTGGAGACAAGGAGGTTATGCTCTCTTAGTTTTAATGCTTTTCTTTTAAAAAATGCAGACAAAATAAAGTTTTATAAACAGGCACATGCATAAGAAGGTGAATATTATTTTTTGGTTGAGCGAGTAGCCTGGTAATGGAGACACAAGAAGTTGTATTTAAGTTTTGCCATAATCAAAATTTACCTGCTTAACAATCATACATATACAAAAAGAAAAATCTTCTTTTTTCTCTCCCAACATAACATGAAAAGAAGGTTTCAAAACTCTCAAACAGCCTTAAAACCTAAAGTGATCCTAGAGGTGTGGTCAGCACTTAAGTCAGCGCACTAATTTATCTCAGTGACCTTTTTGTTCACTCAGAAAAAGGCACTAATCAAGGAAGGATCGCATCTCCTATGTCCCTCCATCGGAATCAACGATATGCATTCGTTTTGCGCTGTATTCGAATTATTAAAACAAACCTAAGTGGTCTGTTACATATATGCACATAATCATGAATGAAGAAAGCACATGTTTGATCCCAAAATAAAATATACAGAAGCTTGTGCTACATTCCATGAACCCAAAATAATATAATTTTCAGTGCAACTCCATTGGAGAGAAGTAATGTCGAGAAAAAGAAAAATGAGACATAGAATGACACGTTTCATAGCTAGCGAGTTAGACAGGAGTTTATGGCAATGATATACGAATCTGTGCAGGCACGTAAGCACGAATAGTTTTTAAATGGAACCCTAGAGGATACACTGATCACCTTTATTTAATGCTTTTGTGAGTTTTGTAATATTTGAGGGCCACAAAACATAAAATATTCTTCTTCAGTGGGATTCTACGTCGCATCAAACTATGTTTCTTGCACTGGTATCCTAATAATGTCACCCAACAAAACAAAATTATTGATATATAGTTTGTGACTAATGTAAATAAAAGAGGAAGTAACATACGCAATCAATAAAAAAGATTTAAATGTTATAAAATTCATCGGTTAACTAAAGTTGTCTTACTTTTTTTGAAGTATATATATATATATATATATATATATATATATATATATATATATATATATATATATATATATATAATTGTTTTTCTGTATTATAAACTTAAAGTATGGAGAGTATTTTTAAGAGTTATACTTGAGCAAAAGAATTTTTATAAATTATTCTTAAATGAGATTAATTTTAGAGTTATACTCTGACTATTATTCAGTGTACTTCATCCATATTATCTTTATTTTTCAAATATATTTTGATATTTTTGAAAATATTATTAATAATTTCAAAAAAAGTTATAAATCATTTGTATTTAACATAAATATAATTTAATTATGTCAATTTTCTCAATTTTTTTTTCGCATGTATTTTGTTTTCTACTTCTAAAATTTTGTTAGTTGAACATATCCATCATGGTTGGTCGGGTGTGTTGGTTGTTTACATGACATCATGAAAATAATATAAATTATTAATAATGTCAACATAATAATTTTTAATATATATATATATATATATATATATATATATATATATATATATATATATACTATTGAAAAATATTAACTGAATGACCTCTAAACCTAATTGAGAGAGATTAGTCTTATAAAAACATCAAAATCGTGATTGACAGACTCTGAAATTGAAAAATTAACTTACGAAGTTCGGTTGTAATTAAAAAACTAATTTACTAACAATCAAAGTTTGATTGTTGTGTTCATAATAATTTGTTTTACTAGATTCTGGTGTTCAAAGAAAATATGTTTTGAGTTTTGAGTAAATCATCTGGTTTTGTCACCACATTTAC